TGAAGGGCATGTTTTTGTGTGTGGGCTCTATTCCAGCAATCACTTAATGGTCCAACAAATGCCTGAATCATTGTGATAGAGGGTTGATGAAAGTCAGAGGCAGGGCAAGCTTGCTCTAAAAATCCACTGCTGGTGATTGTTTCCTGCATGTGCCGCTTTGACGGGAAGTGTATGAGGCGAAATAACAGGACTTTAACAGATTTCAGACTGTAAAATCAAGCGTCTGTTCAATCAGCACACTCATTTCAGGGACGAACAATGGTGAGCACAATAACAGCGGAGAACAATGAACAGCAGTGGTGAAAATAAATATTTTAGCGAGGAGAAGTCTTGATTCTTCTGGTTAATGTTTAATTGGGCTCCAGATGTCGGTGCACTTAAGGGAAATTAAGAGAGCTTGAGAGACGGGATGAAGAGAAGCGAGCAGTACACTGCCGTATCGGAGGCCATCCTGACGTGAGGATTCAAAACGTTAGCTTCTGCTCCTTAAAGAAATAAATAAAACAGAAACAAAAGCACTCGCTGCAGCTCCCAAAGACACTTGATGAGAAGAGAAAGGAGACACAAGAGAGGAGTCCATCTGCGAGTGAGATGTGAAAGAACTCTGATGGGCCCCTGGGTGACCAGAGATGCTGAGCGCTTGGTTCGTTGAGAGGAAGTCTGGATTCCGGCTGTCATGAGTTCTGTAATCACGTCGGGGAACACTGTGTTCTCGGACCTGAAGTAAAGCGAAGTGGAATCTGACAGGTTGTCTTCATGTCTCAAGGACTGGAGAGCGTATGACTGACAGCACCAAATCCTGAGGAAGAGCCGGTCCATAATGCCAATCTAAGAACTCTAACCTAGATATAGCTGTTAGTAAAAGCAAAGCGGGTCAATCTTGTGAAAAGACGACACTGGACATATGTATTGCAATTAACACACGTGGGCTACTAACCACTTGGCCCCAACTAACCCTTACTATCCTCAATGCCAAAAATACAAAAGCAGTGGTTTTTAAAGCATTTTGATGCCAAAATATGATGCTTTGCCTATAAGTAGATTTATAAGCATATAAGTAGATTTAGAAATAGAAGGATTTTTCGCATGTCTAAAGACTTGTGTATGCTGTAAAAGGAAAAAAAAAATAGGAAATAAGTATTGTAATTTCCCTACTGTAGTGTAAAGCAAAAATAATATGCCTATGAAATATTAATTTTCATTTATTTTACAGTACAATTGTTTAAAATATATGGCTATTACTGTCATTGTTGTTGTTATCATTATTATTATATTCTAATTTGTTTGGCTTCCTAAAACACCAGTGTGGACGTCATTTAGACTGAGACAGTATATCGCAGGGATCCTCAAATCTGGCCCACGAGATCCACTTTCCTGCAGAGTTTAGCTCTAACCCTAATCAAACACACCTGAGCATGCTAATTAATGTCTTCAGGATCATCAGAAAATCACAGGTAGGCGAGTTTGATCAGGGTTGGAGCTAAACTCTGCAGCGCACTGGCCCTCCAGGGCAAGATTTGAGAAACCCTGGTATATCATAAATAAAAAGAGGCTTGAGTCCCCTTTAAAGTTCAGGTACAATTCACTGACATTTTACTGATTTAAGTTTTCTTAGTTAAGAACATGGGTTGGAGCTCTTAATTTTGAACTCTCAAAGTGCATTAGATAGAATAATTTAACTTTAAAATGTACAAAAAATTCTTTTTTTTCCCAATTTTTCATGTGTCTTTTTTTCTTTTTAAATATCGCAATATTATCATATTGTGGACTTCATATCGCAATATTATCGTATTGTGAGATTTTGATAACTTTACATCCCTACTAACCAATCAGTCAGATGTTGGATGACTAGCTGAATATCTCAAGCTTTTGTTCTTATCCATACAGATGTCTGGCTGCCACCGGTTAGCTGCTGCCTCAATAACCAGTAGTCATATTGTAAAGTCGCACTGAATTTATCATATTTACTATCTGTGTGTAGATTCTCTCTGACACATCTTTCTACTTTGGTAGTGATCTGGAATAACATTACTCTGAATAAAATGAAACATGCTTAGTTCAAAGCCTTCTCTTACAACAAAAAACACTCCAAAGCATCCAGTAGTGAGTTTGTGGCAAACTCATTAAAAAGTTTCTCACTTAAGTTCACAAGAAGGAAAAGTAAATGGATGGATAAAATAGCTTAGAAGAATGTGAGGAGGAGGAAATCACAATGAGGAAGATGAACTTTGTTTACCTGGTGGAGTCGAGGATGATGTATGTTCGCATAATTAAAGTCTGATTCGCTGGCGTGTAAAATATCTGCCTAACACACACATTATAATTTAAATAATCTGACAACCTTGTAAAACACGTTTTCACCATTTGCCCTATTGAAGCTAGATGTCTTAAACTGTGTGCATAATTCAAGGTTCGGTCGCATAACATTGTCCCTGTGGGTACTGAGACAGGCGGAAGAGAGAGACAGAATGAGATATCTGCATACAGAGCTGAGTAGTGACAGGTAGACAATGCTGATATGAATAATTGAAGAAAAAAAAATCAAGTAAAGCAACATGCCGGAGCTATTCAAAACAAGCTAAATGTGAATAAATCATCAGTAGGGGGAAGAGACAGAGAGAGAGAGAGAGAGAGAGAGAGAGAGAGAGAGAGAGAGAGAGAGAGAGATCTTAATTATCTTGTGGCTGTTAGTGTGTTTAAATGACTAAAACCAAAACCTTGTTCTAGGTGCAAAACTAATTTCTTTAAACATTGGTTTATTTAGTGTCTGTGTGTGGGTAGCAGTACAGAAACCCAATAGTAGCTGCATCAGGCAATGGTCCTGTCGAAGTGTTGAGAGGGAATATAAAAAAAAAATTTGTTTCTGACACCAGTTTGCGAGTCAATGTCTAAAGCACACGTAGTTCAGTCAAGGACGGTTACAAGCCTGACTGATAAAGGCAGAAAATTTTGAAAGCTGATTCATGGACAAAAACGTAATTTTTCTAAATCGAAGGGTGTTCATTGTAAGTCTGAATTCCACACTGCCTCGATAGCCCAAAACAGAATGATGGGGGGAAAAAACTACATACAAAGCACTAGGGGTGTAACGGTACACAAACTTGATGGATCGGTATGTACCTCAGTTTTGACGTCACCGTTCGGTATGGTTTCGGTACAGCAGGAGGAAAAAAACTAACACACACACATTGGTTTTTATGGTTTATGGGGATGGCGTAATGGTTTTTATACTGTACAAACAGTATTTTCTATCGTCCTACACCAACCCTACACCTAAACCTACCCCTCACAGAAAACTTTGTGCATTTTTAGATTTTCAAAAAAAACGTAAAAACTCTGTATGATTTATAAGCCGTTTGAATTACGGGGACACCGAAAGTGTCCTCATTCATGTTGTAATACCTGTCATACCCATGTCACTATACAAATTTGTGTCCTCAAACCACATAAACATGCGCACACGCACACACGTTTGTTTCTGTGAATTGTGGGGACCTTTAATAGACTATTACTTTTATACTGACCAAACAATATTTTCTATACCCTAACACAACCCTAAACCTAAATCTACCCCTTACAGAAAACCTGTTTGCATTGTTACACTTTCAGATAAACATCATTAACAATTTTTAATAATTTGTTTCCCTCGTGTCAAAAATTTCAGGTTTTACTATCCTTGTGGGGACATTTGATCCCCACAATGTAGCATAAACAAGTACACACACACTTTTTTTTTAATTAAACAGGTTTACTGAACAAATAGCTTTTTCTTTAAATGCATTTAACTACAGGGATAAAAATCTATCTAAGCTTCTGCTCTATACTATAGGGAGCCCTTTTACATTACTACACTACATTACATAACATAACTTAAATTCAATTACCATTTATTTTTAACTATAATAATAAACACTCAAATTAAACATTTGTATGCAAACATGTAAATTGCACATAATGTAGTTTTTAAATTAACTTCTAAATTATACAATTTCTATTTGTTATTGAAATACAATCATTTACACAGTGGCTGTCATAACTTGTTTCATAAAAGTTTTATTTAAACATACATTGAATAATTAAGACATCACTAATAGGTCAAGTAAAATATAATGAGTATATAGTCTAATATTTCGCGAAATGCTCTTCTCTAGTCTTAATTTCTAGAAAATAAGAGCTGTAGACACTCATGACTTGCCTGAGCCAAATTCAATTCTACGTGACATTTTGTTTGCAAGTTGTTTTAATGTCTTTTCGCAATTGAAACACTGATTGAGCGATTACTGTACAGGAGATGTTCATTCATGTTTATTTTGCATTAAAACTAGTAGTAAAGAGGAAGGGATGATGACGCTCACTCGCGCTCTGCACTGCCGTTAAAACTGAGGCTTCTATACAGCTATCTGTCGCACCACAAAGAGCTCCAAAACGGCATGTGTTGTCTGAATTTCCTGAAAAAATTTAATGATTTGTTCGGTAGACGTGCGTACTGAACCGAAAGACCTGTACCGAAAATATTCAGTACAAATACGTGTACCGTTACACCCTACAAAGCACAAACAATGACACCAATATTTCCTAAAATACATTTGAATAACTCAACATAACTACTAACATAAAACATTAAAAAACTAACAACAGTCATATATTATATGATATCTAAAAGTTCTTATGACTGGCTAAGTCTGAGCTATTTATAGGGCTGTATTATATTATGAAATATTAACAAAACAATATGAGCTGAAATATGACGTCTGAAGGTCAGACTGAAGTGAAAATGTGAGGAATGTTTCTAACAATGCATTTATTTAAAAAGATATGCAGAGCAACAGGTGCTACACACAGCAAGGACAAACTCAAGGTTAGTTCTTCTTATTACTTCACAATGGCTAGGAAGCCCAAGTTTGTAAAAAGCTTTTTTTTTTTTTGTTTAAATGTTTGATTATACTAGCGCAGTACAGTATTTATGCAGTGACTACACAGAAGCGTTAACATTGACTGACCAGCTCTCTGTGTGCCGAAGGTAATGGCGAGCCTGGTCAGCAGGTCCTCATTCTCGTAACGCTCTTCTTTGGCGACGACCCAAAAACAGCTCTCGGACATCTCCTGGGGGGAGATCTACACAGAAACAAAAAACAAAGGAAAAAAATCATGACAAATCATGGGAGGTCAGGATGCTGGAGTTGCTAGGCAATGTGAGGCATCTAAACAGTGAGGAGGTTTATGAAAAAGTAAAGAGGAAACCTATTCAAATATTCATACTGTGTTCTATTGCTGGTCTTTATTTTGTTCTCCTACATGTCAGTGTGTGTGACAGCTGAATGCAGTCCTGGAGAGGCTCATTCTCAGTCGTCTCAGTACATGAAAAAACACAGGGCCGATATCTCCAGTCAAACATCGCCACACACGGGCCACACGCACACCTAAAATACCCAGGGCTCCAGACTGCGAATAAAACGGTCGCATTTGTGATCAAAAATATTTTATTTGCGAGTGAAGTTTTTGACTACATATATTTACGTTATGACTTAAAAATTTGCATGTAATGCCCTTTTTCCTAATTGTTTTGCATTATGTTCACGTATTAAACTGAGACGATGCGCATCAAAGTTTTAGTGGAAAAAGAGAGTTTCAAACAGTCCTCATCTCTGCCGAATAGCAAGAAATAAAGAAAGCAAGAAAGAAAGAAATTATTTTTTTACTCTTAGAATAATTTCATCAATACATCTGGCTCAATGTGATGTTAAAACAAAGTTAAGACTACAAACAGTGTCTTAGTGGTGATCTAATCTTACAGTTTGAAAGAAAGCCATGGTAACATTGGCGGCGAGTACAACATTGTGGGATGATCAGTTTAATGGAGTCTTCTTGTTGAGATAAAGACTGAAAGGGTAATCAATGCGGCCGGCTGCGCTAATGAACAGACCTCACACTCCTGCCAAATACCTGAGCCAATAACAGCTCTTCAAATCTGCTCCATGAGGACATGTTCAAAGAAATCAAACAATCAGGAACGGACTGAACATGAGCCTGAAGAGTAGCCTCTCAGTGGAAGCGATTAACCCACGTTTCCAACAGGTTGTGTGATTAAGCGAACATGCGCTGCTACGTTCAGCCCCTCTGACGGGCACAGGGTGGCATGTTCCCTATGATGCACCAGCTGCCTCGTCTTTGGCTTTGTGAGCTGCAAAGCTCTAGTTAATGAGTGATAAAAGTCTTGGGTCAGGAGCCATGAATATTGTATGGTGTCAGTTTCTCAAGCAGCTGTTTGAAAGAGCTTCTTTGTGTCCTTCTAATGGCTAATTACAAACAGGTTTTGGATGAAATGAAGCATATGGTGGATTCTTTAAAAACATCTGTATGATGGTGGCAAAAAGGACAGAGATTAAATATTAATTGGAATGTCATAAACTAACAAAACTCAGAAGATATCGAACCGCAACATCTGCCTAGAAACGAGAGCAGGCAGTCACACAGTAAAGTGTAACCCTTCACAACGGAGCAACATTTGCTTTAATGACGCTTGGCAGGAAACAGAAGAAGTTTTCTTTGGTTACTTCGCAAACATCTGTCCTTTTACGCTGCTGTCGCCACCACATTTGAGCGCCCAAGTAGGATTCTGTCCCACAGTGGATTGAGTGACGTTAAAGACTAAAATGTTACCTTGGACCAGTTGAGGCGCTTCATGGAAGCCTCTGGTTTGAATTCCTTCTTAGGTTTTAGGCCAAAAGGCAGCACGTGTTGGATTAAGAAGGATGTCAATCCACCTAGTCCCAAAGGAGGAGGAGGGGGTGGAGGCATCCCGGGCATGGAGGCACAGCCAGGTGGAGGCGGTGGAGGTGGCGGACCTGGAACTCCTGGAACAGGTGGAGCAGGAGGTGGGGCAGGGGGACATGAGGAAGAGGTAGTTGAAGACAAGGCTGGGACAGACTGCACTGAAGGTAAAACCACTGGAACAGCTCCGAACTATGAAAATAAGAGACAAAAAGGGACAAACAACAGATACATGCTTCATATTAATTCAGTTCCTTTTTCTAAAACAACTTTAAAATATCCACTACTGTTTAAAAACTTGAAGTCAGTGAGATTTTTTTTTCTGTTTTTGAAAGAAGTCTCTTAGGCTCACCCAGGCTGTATTTATTTAAACAAAAAATACAATAAAAACAGCAATATTGCTTAGAAATTTTATTACAATTTAAAATGCAAAAATTAAATGTATACATACAATACATACATATACATAGTCATGTGAAAAAGTTAGGACACCCTATTGAATTCTATGGTTTTCTGTATCAGGGCATAGTTAAAAATATATATCTGGTCCTTGGCAGGTCTTACATTTTGGAAACTAAACCCTCAGACGAACAACAACACAAGACATATTGCACTGTGTCATTATTTAGTTACCAAAAATAATGCCAAAATGGAAAAACCATGAGTGACAAAGTTAGGATACCCTTAACGTTAACAGGAATTAAGAGGACAAGCAGTAGTCAGGCACTGCTAATCAAATACCTTTGATTAACTGATCATCAGCAAGTGTGAGCACCTCTATAAAAGCAGAAGTTGTTGCGGTTTGCTGGTCTGGATCCTTCAGGTGTGTGTTAACACAATGCCAAGAAGGAAAGATATCAGCAATGATATTAGAGAAGCAATTGTTGCTGCCATCAATCTGGGAAGAGTAATACCATTTGCAAACAAACTGAAGTCCATCATTCCAAAGTGATGAAGATAATTCACAAGTGGAAGACATTCAAACAGATCCCAATCCTCCCAGGAGTGGACACATCCCAGCAAATTCACCCCAAGATCAGACCATGTAATGCTCAGAGAAATGGCAGAAAACTCAAGAACTTCACCGCAGACTCTACAGGCCACAGTTAACATGTTAAATGATAAAGTTCATGGCAGTACAATTAGAAAAATATGGGACAAGTATGGCATGTTTGGAAGGCTTGCCAGAAGAAAGCCTCTATCTAAAAAAACATGGCAGCACGTTTTAGGTTTGCAAAGTTGCATCTGAACAAACCATAAGACTTCTAGAACAATGTCTTTTGAACAGACGAGACCAAAGTGGAGATGTTTGGCCATAATGCACAGCGCCACAATTGGGGAAAACCTAAAGAGCATATCAGCACAAACACCTCATAGCAAAAGCCACACATGCTTGTGGAGTGCTGATGATATTGGGCTTGTTTTGTAGCCACAGGACCTGGGCACCTCACAGTCATTGAGTCGACCATGAACTCCTCTGTATACCAAAGTATTCTAGCCCTGTAAGGCCCACTGTTGTAATATTACAGCATCCGTTTTAGCTCAGCTAAAATAAAGCTGCTCATGTTTTTTTTTTTCTCTCTCTCTCTCTCTCTCTCTCTCTAAGACCACATTTACACAACTAATGGGGTCCTATTCTTCAGCCTTGCTATGCTATTGGATGCTAGATTTTAAAAATAGGCTTATTTACCTGGCCATAAACTCAACCTGCGAACTTCCCTTGAAGCACATCATCTTGTTTTACTGGACTGGATAAATCTGAATAAAAATGCCTAACATTTTTTTCTGTGATTATTAATATGTGTAGACCATGTAGATATTAAGGTATTGTTGAATGCATTGATAATTTTAGATTTTGAGCTTATGTCATGTCAGTGTTGTAATTTTGCAACGTTGGGTTAAAGGGGTAGCGAAATTTGCCTGTGCACCTTGCACATTACATGGAGGAATTGTACTTCTCATCTGTTCCATATGAAAAAATACTAATAGAAACATACTGTTTTTGATCATTCACAAGTTTTAAATGTCTTTTCTGTTACCATTCTGAGATTCAATCAAGATTTTATGATTATTAATTGATAAGTTCAAGTTGAAGAATAAATTATTTCTTCAATAATTTAAAAGTATTTGTGTAACAATATTTTAAACTATCTGTATCATATAATCTACAACAGAACGGCTGAAAAAATAAAATAAAAAAAGAGTCAAGGTTACAATAGCCCAGTCCAGAGCTCATCCTGACTGAAATGCTGTGGTGAGAGCTGTGCATAAACAAATACCCACAAGTCTCAATAAACTGGAGCAACGTTGTAAAGAAGAGTGGGCCAAAATTCCTCCAGAACGATGTGAGAGACTGTATTTTTATGGCACACAGCTACACGAGTTGGGGTGGGTGATTATTGAACAAGTAGGTGCGCTCTAATTCAAACTGTGCACATGCCGGCCTCTAGATAATTCACAGGCTAAGAGTCAGCATGACTGACGCTCCTGCATATGTGGAGAATTGACTGGGTGATTACGTTTTGCGTTGCTGCAAACGATCGCACCCCAAAGAGATGGATCAGCTTAACTGCCTGCACTCTAAACTTTCACTTCGCTCATTGGCCACCATTATTTAAGAATTGATCTGCTCTATCGACGATAGCCCAGTGAGCCAAAAAGCAATTGATCAAACCAACTTTTCAGTTGATGCCTTATTTGTCATGTCAGTGTGAGGGGTTCAGATCCGTAAAAAAAAAAAAAAAAGTCTAGAGTCTGAGGACCAAGTGGAGGAGAGGGGTACAGGCACAAAGCTTGGCAAGAAAAACGTCAATGTGCAGGAGTGTCACAGCTTTCATGGTAATACAGCAGGTTAATTTAATGCATACATAAGTCCAAAAACATACAACTACAACCAATAAATGATTGACATTATAAACCAATGCTGAGTGCTAAAAACTCCGATATGTCATGTTAAAGTAAACTGCACTTTTTTGCCATTGTTATACTTTTAATGTTGAATCATTTAATCATTGAAATGTTGATCTATTAATCTTAAAATATGCAGAAGAAATTAAATACTCAGAATCAGTTCATAAAAACCAACCAGCCAAAACTTTACTAACATGGTGCCAATATATTATGCATCCTTACTTTGCATTATACAACAAAAAATGGTAAAATTAAACATTTTAAAAGAAAGCAAAGGGGCCACTGTATATCAATGTATATCACTGAATTCCAAAAAAAAATCTTCAAAAGTTTATTTGAAAAAGACTTTGACTCTAATTTAATGATTAAATATGGAGAAGCTAAGATCAGGGCTTTAGAGCAGTATGATTCTCTTATAGCAGCTGTTCAGGGTGAAGTAGAGACAACATTAGGGCAGACTGTGCCAGTCTCTATTAGAGAGAAGAGCAAAAGCTGTAAACAAGTTTGATGTTAGCTCCAAAAAAAAAAAACTGTTTGCGCTGTAGGGCTGAGCAAGAGTGAGAGGCATGGTGAGTATACTTGGCACTAGTGCTGGGCGGTATACCGGTTCATACCGAATACCGGTGTTTATTTTTGTTATATGACATGACTTTTTAAAATACCGCAATACCAGTATATGCCGCTTAACCAACGTTCGGAATGCCACACTGTTTGAAAGGGGTCCCTTTTCACTGTTGCACTGTGGTGAGGGAACAGCTATATGTGTTACTAAGCATAAAAGTTCCGAAACTGAAGCTGTAGAACTAATAGAACGTGATGACACAAGAACTCATCCACAATATTCACATTGACCGCCACAAATATCCACCGCCCCCTGCCATCAGCTCCCGCGTCTCACACACACACACGAGCGTGACTTTAGCACTAGATTGAGCAACTTTCAGACCCTTTTAACGGCTTTTTTCCATAGAATATTCATACTGAGAAACCTAGCGACTTTTTTGGATAAACCTTAGCTATGGTTCAGTTGGAAGATTTCACCAGTGCTGTCCCGCGAACGCGAGGTCTGACTTTCCTGGAGAAGTGCTACCTCTCTCGGCGTCTGTTCTGTGCAGTGAGCGGCAGAGAAGCAGCGCATTCAGTAGCCGACTCGTCAATAAATGAGTACAAAACACCTGTCGCTTACTGATTGTTTGGAATTATAAATATGAGCGTAGTTTGTCTGTTAATATCACATGCACTTTTTTGTTTGTGAGGTCTGACTTTCCCGGAGAAGTGTCGCCTCTCTCGGCGTCTGTTCTGTGTAGTGAGCGGCAGAGAAGCAGCGAGAGAAGCAGTGCATTCAGTAGCCGACTCGTCAATAAATGAGTACAAAACACCTGTCGCTTACTGATTGTTTGGAATTATAAATATGAGCGTAGTTTGTCTGTTAATATCACATGCACTTTTTTGTTTGTTTTATTTTGTTTGTTACTCAGACGCAGGCAGTGCGCTGCAAGAGACAAAAAAGTAATATAGTTAGAACAACCGCATAGTGTAGATGCATGTTGATTTTATCAGACGATGCCGCGATTATAAATGAGAGTGACTCATGGTTAACATTAAAAGGGGACGTGTTTAGTCACTATTTAGTGTGTTATTTTTTGACAATATTCACTCATCATGACAGTAAAATAGGGCATTCTAAGTCAATATACTGCAGTATTTCCTCTCTCAATCAGTAGAAAATATGGTTAACACCCGGTCATGCATGAAAAAAAAATACCGTCATGCACCGTGAAACCCGTCTAATTTTGAAAAATACGTGATATAAATTTTTGGTCATACCGCCCAGCACTACTTGGCACAAAAAACTCTTTAAAGATGAAATAATGTAAGGAAATGGGGTAATTGTCATGGTATAGTGGGAGAAGTGTGTATTAGGGACTGGGAGAACAAAAGCACAGGTCAGCCTGGCCAGGGAGAACAGATGTGCCTGCATTGCTTGTGTGCATCTAAACAAACCGATGGCCAAGGGCATAGGATTTATATTTCAACTCAATTTTTTGTATAATTGCCTGGTTGGCCTGAACAACTACTGAATCGGAGTCAGTTTCACATTGTCTCCATGCAAATGCTGAATTATTTTGCACATTTTTTCTGTTTGTTTCTGAACAGATCCAATTAAAACAGATATGTGTCATGATCTCCAGTTCTCTGCATTTAATGTCAAATAACCAAACTAAGACAGACTAACCAAACTAAGACAGAAAGAAAAATAATTTAACAAACAGAAACCAGAAGGAGAGACAGCACTAGAGAAGGGAATCCCAGCAGCAATGCCATCAAAAACAATGACAGAAGTGGCCAAAACAAAGAGAGAGAAAAGCAGAGGTACCTGGTTTCTATAAGCCTGAAGTTCAGCTTCCAGCTCATTGATCTTTTCCTCTCTTTTCAACAGCTGGGCTTGAGCTTCCTGTCTGCCCAGGAACTCCTCATCAAACTGGAAAACAAAAATCATATCAACACACACACAAAAACATAACCATTATTCTACTGATGTTTGAACGCTGCTTAAATGTCTTTTTCTGTTAGCATTATGTACTAAGACTGAGCACTAATTATTGAAATAAAATATGATTACACAAGTATGAAACAAATGCAAAACGCAAATTCAATTAAAGGACTATGAAAAGAGTTACTTAAGAATATTTTTATTAAATAAGATGGACACATTTTCTAAAACAGATCTTACCGACACCAAACAGTAGTGTACTGAAACATACCACACAACCTTTTAAAACACAAAACTAGTCTTCACAAAAAAAAGTTTACTTTCTTAAAAAATGTCTGACTGTAAATTTTCATGCCTACATTGCAAAAAAAAAAAAAAACGTGCATCATAATGCACTTTAGTATGACCATCCTAACCCAACAAGTTTTCATTCATCGAGTTCATTTCTTAGATGTAAAGCCATAAAAAGCAGTTCTGCTAGTTTTAAAAGATAACTAGTTATCTGGAAAGGATGTAGTTAAAGAGCTGTGGTTGTATAGATCTGTTGCCCTCGACCACGTACACTTCGGCCCACAATTATAAAGGAATGCTCCCAACAATCAATACAAGGGCCTTTTTAATCTCAGAATACTGTTAACCACAAATGGCTGTTTGAACGATTTCAAGTAATCTTGCCTTAATTAAAGAAAGCTAAATGGTGCGGTCGTGAATGGTCTTCATAGGCCGCATACTTCATTAGAGGAGCCAGAGTGAGAAGAAAGAAACAGAAAACAAGGGGTGGAAGAAAAAGTGGAGGGAAAGAAAGAGCACTTGCCTTTTGAGCTAACTCTAAGGCCCTCTGTTCAAACTCCTCGGCCCTGGCTTTATCCACACACACCTCTGCAGAGAAAGCATGGAGAGATTAACCATTTCAGTTTGAAGTACTTGCTCAAATAGAAAAGCATACACACCTAACAGGTGGCTGAAGTCCACATCCAGACGTTTGCGGTAGGCAAAGTCAGGATCTGTGCCGCTACGATGGAGGATGATTTGAGAGACACACTCCTCTATGATCTTAAAATACTGAGGCCTGGAGGACAGAGAACAAGAGAGAATAAGAGAGAGCGAGGAGGGAAGAAAAATCAATGCATTGTATTATCTTTTTGAGAATACGGTACCACTGACTCAGGCACAAAATTAGAAAAATTGTAAAATTAACTCTAAATCCTCTGACAGTAGTGATACTGGCTTATACAAGCTATTAACTGGTGCAATGAAAATGACCGAGTCCTTTAAATCTGCGATGCTGCTCGACACTCGCATAAAAGAGAAAGAGAGACATAAAAATGGAGAGGGACATGGAGAGAGACATAACAAAAGTGAGAAGGGATGACGTACGAGATACCGTAGAGTGAACTCAGCCGCATTTTAAAGTATAATTTAAAACTGCAGCCAGGCAATAAGGCTTTCCTATCCCTGTTAAATATATAGTTATATATTTGAATTAAAAAACTGAAGAAAACAGTGAATTATAAACTGGGCTGACATGTTTAATAAATCTAGCCTTTGTGGCACAATACAGAATTTGAGAGTCTTTTCTTAAAATGAGTGAAGTTAGCAGAGCTTTGGAGGGGAAAGTGGAAATAATTAGGATCAGTCAGGCTGAGGTGAGGCTCTTTGATCTGAGGTCATCATTCTGACCTTTTACAGGAATCATTTCTACATAGTACTGTGAAGTTGACACCCAAAATACAGCATAATAATTTCTAAAATGCAATTATAATCAAAATCAGTCTTAGTATTCTAGTGCCATTAATCATGTTCACTAATTGATATACTTGACTACAGCACAAATAAAGTGGCCAAATCAACCACATAGTGAAATCTCCAACATGCTTATATGGTTTACATAAATTAGGATATAAAATTCAAGTTACTATATTTTCAATTTTAGAGTGAGTCAGCATTAAGGACACATAAACCTACATTCCCTTTATGGAATAACTGACCATAAAAAGAAAATAGAAAACAAATAATAAAGCATAGCCTAAGTGTATGCAGTCATGGCATTATCATTTCCATAATGAAAGAGCTAAACGATCACTCCTTGACCTGAATAGCACACCAATTGGCATGTGAATGTGTATATTAATGTTGTAGGTATATACTGCCTATCTGCAGTGGTTTTTAAAAACTGAGTAATATATCCTGTATTCTACATATTAGGACCTTGCCTTTTGATCAAGACCAGGTTTAACACACCTCCAGCTGTGAGCTCAAAGACATGAAAACTCTCATTAAAGTAATGGTAACCAGTACCAAACTATACAAGGTCCCTTATACATAAATACACTACCAAAGTACGGTTTCCACAATAATAATATTATTAAGCAACACAACTGTTTTTAACATCGATAATTAGAAGAAATGTTTTGGAGCAACAAATCAGCATATTAGGATGATTTCTGAAGGATTATTTGACACTGAAGACTGGAGTAATGATGTTGAAAATTCAGCTTTGCATCACAGGAATGATCAGTAATTGATGTCAGTAATCTTCAATTAGCCTTGATGATTTTTTTTACACTAGTTTACAAAGCTTAATTTGAAAGCAAAAGTTCATGGCCTTGAATGTCTCACTGAAGCTTGTTTTCAAGGGAATGTATATGAGACTGCAGTTTGGACCTGTTGAAGAGCATCACTGTGGTTTATGACTCTCACTGAACTCTCAGCCAACATAAAGGATTCCATCACCTCAGTCAAAAACTACTATTAATCTCCTCAAGCAACACAGATCATCAATTATTGATCAGCCTTCTCCACAACACTCTAAATCACACGTGTGAGAGGGAGTGTTTAGTTAAAAGGCACTGGTACATTCAGGTGACTGCCGTATTGAACAGACAGTGAACTGTCTGTATAGCTGTGTGCCTGGACCTTCTGCTCACATCATGTCTGATGATGCAAAAATGTATTACATAATAAACCACACCAATTCCAAATTATTTATAGTGGGGTGTCTCAACTTGACAGGCTGTGATGGCACATGATTTTTTCAGACATATTCATAAAGTAAAAGTAGTGTTTTTTTTTAATAATTCAATAAAAGGACAGGTCTGTAAGAGTCACTTGTTTGTGAATCAGACAATACTGATTGTGCTGTATGATTTGGATGCACTAAAAAAAATATTGGTTACCAATTCAAGTTGTGATTAATCAAATAATCAATGTATAAAAAATGGGAGGCAATATTTCTTATCCTAAACTCACGGGGTCAAAACAAAAGACAATAATACACGTCAATAAAAATCAAGATGTTTCACAATTAATTTAGTTCAATCAATGGATTCGTCAGCTATTTAAACTGTAAATCCTGAGTTCATGTGTCCTTTGAATGATGCACTAAATGGACAGGCTCATATGATTTCTGTTCTTATTTGCTAAAAAGAACTGGTTCATAAAAACCACCAGTTGATTAATTGAAAATTCTATGTTTTTACTCAAATGGCCAAATAATTGTAGTCAATGTTTATAATCCTAAACTCAAAGCTCAAAACACAAGATTATGATACTAAATAAATATTTAGTCAGTAATGATGGGCAGTATATTTATGATATTTTCACACAGCAAAAATCAAGAAAAAAATGAGCAGAAGTCTTTCACAGGCAAAACCCTTTGATTTAAGAGATGATGACATTGTATTATTCATATTTGTGTGGCTCAGCGGTTGAACTGCGGGAGGAATCTCAGCAAAGTTGAGCCTGTAAGAGACACTTGCTGACAGCTTTCATGAGGGAAAAGGAAAACATATCTGCCATTAATAACCGTACCGTTTTCTTAATCTGCCTACTTCACATGCCTGGCAAGAAGCGGGAGTGGTGAGTGGACAGGATGAGGAGAGAGAGAGAAAATATATTCCTGTGAGAATCACTCACTCTCCATTAGCTCAGAGCAATACAGAGCTAAAAGAAATATCCACTAGACATAGACATGAAAACACAAATTATGAAGTGATAAAAAAAACATGCTGATTCATTTACTAACTCCCATGGATGAGCACACAGACACATGCAAAACGAAAATACTTGGTATCCTCAAGCTCTCTTGAAAAATTCTTTAAAAATAACCCTCTCCAGTGCAGTCTACTGTCGACCCTGAGCGCACCCTACCTCTCACTCTTACCTAAACAAACTGAACTATGCAGTCTGGGTGTGTGCTCTAAGAGCATCTATTTGAAGAGACAGCCCCTAAATATCTCCAGCAAGAACAGAAGAGTGGAGAGAGAAAGAGAAACCCTAAAGAAAACTCCAAACTGTTCCCAGTTATAACAGCCTTTGATAAATGATTCATACGGTTAAAAGAGATCACAGCTGACTATTAGCAAACAGGAACAATAACCAGTCAATCAATAAAACTTTACTTGATCAGCCTTCTCCACAACACTCTAAATCACACGTGTGAGAGGGAGTGTTTAGTTAAAAGGCACTGGTGCATTCAGGTGACTGCCGTATTGAACAGGCCTCTAAGCACACCAGTTGGCCTTTATGGATATTAAACAGCATGCCTTGGATGTTTTTTGGTTATTTTTCTCCTCTAATTTCATCAATTCCGATCTAATGGAGAAAAGCTGGCCAATAAGGGGCCGTTTCCTGTGTGACCTGCTATTGTAGAGTGTTCAATTGCTTCGTATAAACTATTCAACGCTATTTTGGACTGGAAGAGGAATTCTTTGTGCACAAATCCATGCGAACCATAAGAGCCGCAGAACTACTACATATTTTGCACTCTGCAGGTCAAAATAATATAATTTTAGCTGCAACATTAACTGCTGAGTTAGAGGTTTATCCTGAATGCTGGATATGAGAAAGCATGTGAAAGTTCTCTCTATGCATGTTTGAGGGGAAAGCTCAGTGCCTCTCCTTCACCTCCCTCTGCTACCAATTAAACTAAAACACGGCTACTTTGATTAGTCTCAACAATGAAGCCACTCAGTTAACGCAGGCGAACCAGCGTTCTGTAGGGCCTGCACTCTGCAGAGGAGCTGGGCAGGTCACGAGTATTAGCACGCAGGCCTCACTTGAATGCATGCACATATGCTGCAACAAGAGAGCCCAGAGCCAGACATACAGGCTGCCTGTATGGTCCTTGCATACATTGTTTTTAAAAAAAAACTTCTTTGTTGCAGATCTTTTTTTTTTTTTTACAAAATTAATATTAGTTTAACAGAGAGACAGAAAGTAACATAGGCCAACAGTTAGTCAATTTATAAAACAATAGACAGACAGACAGATTTATTTATTTACGATTTAACACCACATCAGCAGCAATGGCCATTTTCATGGAAAAAACAATTAAATTGCATCACTTAATTCAATCAATATCCTTTCCATATAATGTTATTATTTAACAATTTTGTTATAAAAATATAAACTAAAATAATAACAACAATAATAGCAATTATATCGTCTTTTAACTTACTATTTGATAAAAATTCTAAAATTATTTCAGAAGAAACCTTTTTAAAAATGTCCATTAAAGGGTTAGTTCACCCAAAAATTAAAATTAGCCTGTGTTTTACTCAACCTCAAAGCATCCTAGGTGTATGTGACTTTCTTCTTTCAGACGAATCCAATCTGAGTTATATAAAAAAAAATTGTCCTGGCCCCTCCAAGCCTTTCAATGGGGATACGCGGGTGTTGGTTGTCAACAGTTCAGAAGACATGAAATAAAGTGCACGCATCATTAATAAAACGTCCCTCACACGGCTCCGGGGGGTGAATAAAGGCCTACTGTAGCAAATCCATGCATTTTTGTAAGATAAATATCCATATTTCAAACGTAATAAAGACTTTTTTCTCACTTCCGCTGACTGTCATACACAGAAGCAGTTCCGGTGGATGATGTAAGACGTCGACGTTGCATGATAAGTGACGAACGCGGAGACAAAACAAAACACGCCGTTCATGAATTAGAAGTACAAAATGAGGATTTGTAAAGAAAAATGTCAGAGGATTTCGATATAAGCCAAGAGGAGACTGGTTTTCCTTTGCTAAAGTAAGGAAACTTTGTTTCCTTTGCTCCTGCATTTCTTAGAGGTGCGCGCACGACGCATACGTCATCTGCCGGAACGTCTTCTGAACTGTTGACAACCAACACCCGCTTGCCCTTATTGAAAGGCTTGGAGGGGCCAGGACAATTTTTAATATAACTCCGATTGAATTCGTCTGAAAGAAGAAAGTCATATACACCTAGGATGCTTTGAGGGTGAGTAAAACACAAGTTAATTTTCATTTTTGGGTGAACTAACCCTTCATATATTCTGAATAAAAATACTGTCTATTATAATTTAAAAATGGACATTCTATTAAAATATGTTCCATACGCAAAAGAATCTTACATAAATCACAAACTGGTTTCTCCCCTTTCAATAAATATGAATGAGTCAGTCTTGTCTATTTGCAATACACAGAGAGACAGAACAATAAAAAAATCAGTTAGAACAAACGGTACAGAACGATGGAACGACAGAACAAACGAATGGTAGATAGAACGACAGAACAATAGACAGACAGAGAGATGGAACGATAGACAAAACTAACAATAGATAGATAGAATGATGGTCAGATAGATAAAACGATGGATAGATAGATAGAACGATGGATAGAACGATAAAACGATAGATAGAATGATGGATGGATGGAACGATTGATAGAATGATAGATAAGATAGAACGATTGATAGAACGATAGATAGATAGAACGATAGACAGAAAGATAGACAGAACGATGGATGTAACGATAGATGATGGATGTAACGATAGATGATGGATGTAACGATAGATGGATGTAACGATAGATGGATGTATAGATAGATAGATAACCCTTTAATTATTAAATGATCAATTACATATTTTAGTTCTTTGATTTAGTTATGATCTATTTTGTTATTAGAGTCAATCAAGGCTTATGAATGTAGAATATCAAATGAAATTGATGTCAATTTTCTATTGTTGGAGTAAACTGTCCATTACAAGATTTGTGGTTTACAGACCCTGACTCATGGTGCACTTCCGTCTTATTTGCGGGCACATGGCTAAATACCCCTAATCAAATTATTAATAATTTCTGGAATGATTATGGTAAATCTCATCAGGGATGTTTGACTAATGGCAGTTTATGCTTTAAAATGCAAATGAAGAGCTTTAACTGGCAGCACTAATCTCTGTGCTTTACAAGTGTCCTGAGCCCCTGAGCATGCTGGCTAAACAAAAGGTCATGTTGACTTGTCAGAAAGGGACAGGAAATTAAGTTAGTTTTATATTGTTTCATTTAAATAAACAAATGTCATGCCTGCATAAGCACCGTATGGCTTAAACGAGCATTAGGCATCTACTTGCATAAGCTTTTGAAATGTGTTCTTACATAAAGGACTGGTCGTTAACAAGCAGATATGCTCATTTGTTTTCTTATCCTTTTCATGACGGCCTCTATACACAGTCGCTGGGGGATTTTAAAGTGTAAATTGTGTTTCAGAGGTGATTCAGAGCCTGTGACTTCATCGTTATATTGAAGTCACTTTCAAGCAAATTGCTGGTGCTTCATCTCAGCATTGACCATTTACCGGCCCTCAAATCTCTGAGGGAAACTTTCAAAATGGAATAGTATATAAAGCAAATGTATATCCCCATCTGAGCAATACACACAACACCAGTCTGTCACAATAGTGCAAACAGCAATGTGAAAGTGGGTAATGTTACTTTATTACAGAAGAGCCATTAACAGACCACTAGGGATTTTGAACAGATATTTGTGCATTTTTTTAAGATGTAGCCATTGCTTGGAAAAAATAAAATAAAATAAGATCAAATCAAATTTTCACATTTTCTTTAGAGAGTGGCACTATCTATTCACAAGGTTGTTTTTTTTTTCTATTGCAGCTATCATAGGTATAAATATGTATATGTAACTGAGTGTGTATTGAGGTCACGCGGGCATTGGTAGAGCTGTATCAGCAGAAGACAAGTGAACAAGAAGGCAGATGAGGAGCAGTGAACGCTTACCTGTAATTGGATGGAGCGCACACTAAGACCTTGAACGATAGGGTTAAAGCGGGCCACCCCTCTTCCCTCAGTTGCTGTGGTGATGGCCTCAAGGACCTTCTCCAAACTTCATGCAGGAAATAAGTAAAAGTCACGGATTTGATTTGGTTTTACATTTTTTCACTGAGGGTTATGCTGGGATTGCACTTCTCTCTGGTATGGAGGATGCTTTGAGTGCACCTGTCAATTGCACATTTTCAGTGCTTACATGAAGCTGATATTTAAAAGAGAGATTAAGTAGTCATGATAAATGTTTTATGCATCTGAACTAAAAGAATGCTGTGCTTATATCCTGAATGCAAAAAGACCAAAAAAAAATAAAAAAATCAGGCAAAAACTTTACAAAATTATGCTATCGCAACAAACTGTGTTCGCAGGAGGAGAGCTGAAGCAAATAGCAACTAATACAACACACAGTAAAAGAAGAAATTCCATTAAACAATGATTTAAATTTGCATCAGAGAAAATCCCAGAATTATGATGCGGTGGCCCAAAAAGCATTCGAACACTTAAAAATATATGAAATGCATATCTGATACTCTATTTGACAATGTTGATGTTAAAAATCACAATAGGGGCATAAAACTCCAACAGAAAATATATAATTGAGGGGGCTTAAATAATGAAATCAGGCTGAAATAAGAAAGAACAATAATTGCATCATAACCAAATTGATTTCAACAGAAAGGCTAGAAAAAGTGAGAAGGGAGGCTTACGTATTTTCTTCTCCCACAATGCAGATTGCAGAGAGCAGTTTGACCACATCTGTCATCATGGCCGGCTGACCAGGGTCAATGGCTTGGGCCAACAGTGTCAGACTCTTCTCCTCTCCAAGGATCCGCTCCAGTCCATACTGCAGACAGACAGAAAAAAAAAACTTATGTAAGACATTGCCCAGTGTTTCCTGCAATGCTATTCCGCGGTGGCACTGAACCACTGCTAAAACTACACTGTCTCAGCAAAAGATCAATTCAGTCAATCTAATTTGAACAGAATGAATGCACTAAAGAAGCAAAACCAAAAAAACAAGAATGAAATGACTTATTCTTGCACAAAAATGCAAACAAAAAACAAAACCACAAAAAAAACACACTACACAACAATATTCAACAAAATAATTATTACTTATAATACATGTTATTTAATAAAATCAAGCAAATCAAGCATTAATCTAAAGGGTACATTATTATAAATACGTTCCAAGGGATTGGAAATACTGAGGGATACATTAAATACAAAGTAGTAACTACGGAAAAGAGTTTGTTTAAATTAGAGGTGACTCTTTTAAAAAGTGGAGGAACCAAAGAAGGACTCGACGTAGCTGCCTGTTGCTCTGTCCTTGAAGTAATGACAAAACTGCGATCAGGGATATGATAATAGTAGCGTGAAAGAGAGAGGGAGGGTGAAAAAAAGAAAGAAAGGAAGAAATGGCAAGCATAAAGGTGAATGAAGAACACAGACACAGGACAGAAAGGCCTTGGGGGTCTGAAACGACAAGAGCAGATCGAGACCTGAGAGAGAAGCGAGGAGTCAAAGAGGGGAGAATATCCACGTCTGAACACAGGGGGGTTCGGTTAATGACGACCGCAGCGCCAACACCACAGGACGAATTTCTCATTAATTCAAAACACTGTGATGTAACTTAAAAGACTATATCTCTCTACTCTGTCAATCTTTACATGTAATAGATTCACTTGGCATGAAATGGTTCACTAAAATTTGACTGAGTGTGTGTGAGTGTAATGGTTAAAATCCTAATTCTGAATTTACATGATCTGATTATTTAGAAATTAACAAAATATGGGTCATCATATGACTAAATTTGGAAGACCCAAATCTGTCGCCATCTTGCAACAGCACAAAATAACTTGTGACTCAAGTTTAGCAATTTTCAAGACATGAATCATCCTGAGTCAATTAATTTCTGACTAAAAAGCTTTAGGACAGCAAATTCACCAAGTTGTGTTAATTGCTTCATAACTCATGCCAATTAATGGCTCCAACTGCCATATCTCAGCCTTGTTGTCATTCAGAACAGATGTTTCTGCAGTTTTTCTTTTTTATGCAAACTTAGGTATGAAAACATCCTTCCCGCCTCAGAGGCACAGGGGAGATCACTGTGCGTTATCACAGTGTTTATGCGCAGTAATGGATGTAAACATATTTGAGCCATTTTCTGTCTTCATTCCGCGGGAGTTGGTGACAGCTGGACGGGAGCACCTGGCTGGCAGGCAACATGGGCGGAATGCGTCCCATGATGCTGTGGGGCTGAAGTGAGAGGTCTGGAGCTGTGACAGGCCTCTGGGTAAATAAGGCTTGTGGCACCTGTCGGGTGCTTGGGATTACACCTGACCTTCAGGGCTGAGGGGTGTGAGTAGTAGATTTTGAAACTCGCAGAAAACACAACTGGGATCTCCAGCAAATTAATTCCCAGAATGACTACACAGAAATAGATGCAGAGAGTGTTTTTTTTTTTTCTTTGATCCTACAGAAACAGGCCTCAGGAAAACAACAATGGCCTCAACCGATTTATATTTCCTCAGTGGGTGACCATGACAGATTTCCAACTGAAAAATGCACTGATGCGCTTAATTGCTTTGTTTCCATTTTTAACAAATGGCATGTCAATTAGAGTCAATGACGTGACAATTGAATACAGTTATAGAAAAAAAAATGAAGTCAACTTGTGAAGCTCCTGAGGGAAAGAAAACTAATTACATACTGTAGATAATGACTAGATTTTTACATTTGTTGTTAAAAAATGTACCAATCTCACAACCATTTTGGGTGGTTGCCAAAGCTTTGCTATGCGGCTGCAAATATGTTCTGAGTGTTTGTAGTACCCTGTCAGGCTCTAGGTTTTCTTTTTCCCCCAGTAAGGATGCATTAAAAATTGTCAAAAGTGACCCTAGTAAAAAAATTAATACATTTCTTTCATACCAAGTATAACTCAAATCTATCAACATATTTACTGACATATCGCTTGAAACTTACTGATATAAAGAAAACATAATTAAACTTATTTTGGAGTACTACTTGTGCACAATGCACATTTCTTAAAATTAAGCCTAAAGTATGTTTTAATATCAGTATTGATGAAGATTGAATGATCTTTGAAAGCATGATTTTTAAAGTGTAACTAAAGTATACTTGCAATAGTTTAACTTTAGCACAATCAAATATAATTCAGTATATCTTTAGTTGGACATCAGCACTACTTCCACACAATTAATGTGCATTAAGTATAAAATTAGTTGTTCCAATTTAACAGACTTTAAATATACGAAACGTACAATTGCAGGGTATTTTTATTGAGTACATACATATGTAAATGTATTTGTAGTAAACTTCGCATGAAATAAATGCTTTTCAAATACATTTTAGGTCATTTATTTTTCACTAGGGGAGAGTAAAGAGTTTTGCTTTGAGTATTTTTTTTTTTTATTAAATGCTGTTCTTTTCTACTCATGCCTGAATCTTGAAAAATATATAATGTATTCACAGAAAAATATTAAGCAGCACAGCACTGATAACAATAAGAAATATTTCTTGAGCAGCAAATCAGTATATTAGAAAGATTTCTTAAGGATCATGTGACACTGAAGACTGAATTAATGATGATGAAAATTCAGCTTGGTCATCACAAGAATAAAATGCATATTAAACTAAAAAAAAAGACAAAAAAAATATTATTTTAAATTGTAATAATATTTTACAATATAACTATTTTTGTTACTGGTTTTTGGCCTAAATTACTCGCAATTTTTTTTTTTAAAGCAAATAAAAATATTTTAAAATATAACTGATAAATAAAATTGAAGATATTCTATATGATTTTGCCTAAATAAGCAAAAAATAAAACACTAAAAACAAAAAAAAATAGAATAAAATCAATATTTACTTTTTTTTTTTTCAAATCTCAAATAGCAATGTACCGCAATGCCAATGCTTACTTTAGAAAATACCATTGATGAATGCCATTCCAACAAAGAATCAGACCTGTTAGCGAGGCTGATAGATGACTGCTAACAGCTTCTCCGATAAGATTAGTTCAGCTTCACTCAAACACCATGGGATATGCTGACACCTGACAACATGTCTGTCTAACATCTGCCACATACCCAGTGAATGAACATGGATCAAAACCCCACAGATCTCTATCTCTACCATGCTCGTATGTATGTTTGCACGAGGCGGGGGTAACTCCTCAAACCCCGGGCTATCAACAACTTCAGAGACACCACTGGAGATCCACTTCTAACACATCTCTCTAACAGGAGTGTGCAAATCATCAAAAGCCCCCTCAGACCTCTCCACCTCGGCCGTGCGGCGTAACCCCCTCCCGAGTTCAGAGTGGTGGCTGTCTGCAGCCCCCTTCATCTGAAGCTCTCCTCTTATCGCTCCTGACCATTTGAAAGCGGCCGCAGGTATGTGTGTCCAGCGGGGAGGAGCGGGAGCGTGGTGAGTTAGCGGAGATGTAACGCTGCAGCTGATGAAGGGGTCGGCTGAGATGCCACAGCGACTGAAATGAGTCTTGTTTGAAGCTGGTGCTTTAGGGTAATGATGAGATTTCTACTTCAAAAAAAGTACATCTGAAACTCATGAAACACATCCACAGCAGATAAATACACCATGTTTTCGTTACTTTATTCTACATTTTCTCTGTCACTTGTAACATTTGATTTAATGTGATGGTTGGCTGGTTGGTGATTTAGGTGGGCTGCCATCTTCCTTGGCTATTTTCATGGTGAGTAACAAGTTGAAATGGTATAAAAGAGCAATTAAAGAAGCGATATACTAGATAAATGCCAAAGTGAAATATGTATATTCATTCATGTAAATGTATGTAATTAGGATCAACGGCTGCTTGATAGTAAGCCTAAGGAAATGAGTATTATGTTTATGAATGTATGACCACAAATATTCATGTATACATGCTTACAAATATTTGCTTATATCGTAACCAGTTGACCAGACTGAAATTTCTTTTACTTTTTATGTTATACTTTGGGAAAAATATTTATGTATGTACCCACGAAGGAGTGTTGTTTGATAGTTAGTGTTGAAGTTCATAAAAATAAAGTGTAAAAAAAAAAAAAAAACAAGCGATATACTGTATAAGGTTTTTAAAATATTCTCAACATAAAAACCCTAAAATAGATTCACGGTTGATTAAAGGTGAAGGTACATTAGAACAACAATCATCTGAAGCTTAAGAATAGTAAATGGTTTGAAATACATTGACAGCACACATTATTTATTCTACTAAGACAAAAAGAACATAAGCAGTACAATTTAAAGTAAATGACTTCTTATTTGGCCACATGCAAACTGCAAATCTTTGGGCTTTCCATTGCAGTGCTATATTATCACAAAAATTCTTGCATTTCTTTATCTTTTACATAATGTCTTGCAAACATAAACGATTGGTTATCTGTAAAGTATTCTGCATTTTTGGTACAAATTCTGCTGACTGGTCTGATTGGTCACTAAAATAATGTTATCTAGCTGACAGACATAAATCAGGTTTTGTTAAAATAGCAAACACGACTTGTTTTTCAGCATAATGAATTTAAGGGGTTGTGTTACGTTATAGCTGTATCATTTCCAATTAGTTTCTATTTTTATATTTTTGTAAACAATAATTGTAAAATTATTTTAACAAATATAAAACTATTGCTATAAAAAAAGACATTTGAGGGGGTGGTGAAAATATGGAAGCGAATAAAAACCATTTTCACAGCAGCAAATATAATTTAAATTTTATGCAATTGAGCAGTGTTGCAACAAACATCAATGGGATTGAAGACTGTGGATCTCGCATTTAAAAGAGTCATCACATATTTAGGTGCAGTTTGCATGTGGCCTTTGAAAATTGATAATTGTCCAATATGAGATGAGGTTATCTCAAGTGGAAGGTAGTTATAAAATGAACCCGCTGCTTGGTGACGTTATTACCTTGTTGTTCATAAAGGCCTTGAGGCACTGAATGACTTTGTGTTGACTCTTCTTATCCACGTTTTCTTGGCTGGAAACACACACACACACACACACACACACGCGCGCGCACACAAACAAACACAAAAATCAAGAATGAGTGAAAGCAAGCAGAGCTCAGTGGGTTACTAGAAGACAAAAACCGAGTCAAAGATTTTAGTTAACAAACTGTTATGACCTCAGGACACATGCTGAGGTAGAACACATATAGTTTGAAACCTAGCAAGATGCCTTTGATTAAGAAATATGGGTAATGGAATTTGTTTTACTGTTTTTTGAGGAGGAGCTTCTCCAGCGTATCCAACAGGAGACCCAGACCCTCGTGGCCAAAACTCTGCACCCAGCTGAGAAAAAAAAGAACATGTTAGCGTAATTCTGATAATGTGTAAAATAATAATAATAATACTATGGAAGTCAATTGCTCCCATTAACTGTTTGGTTACCAGCATTCTTCAAAATATTTTTTTTGTGTTCAGCAGAAGAAAGAAATTCATACAGGTCTGGAGCAATTTGAGTGCAAGTAAATAATGATAATTTTAATTTTTGGGTGAACTACCCATTTAAGTCAGGAACTAGCAGTTTACACTATTGGCTCTAAAAGTCCATACTTTATATTACCTAAATAAACCACATTGTATTGCATGCCTGGACCGAACCATAAGAGTCAATAAGTGTTATCAGATTGAAGTTTGTCAGAGCCCATTTAACGTCAGTAGATTCTACCATCTTCAACAAATTAAGCTCTCCCCCTGGAGCTAAAAGTGAAAGGCATTGCTAATGGAGCAAAGATGTTTATTTTAATTCCATTCAGACACAATCTCTCGCTCTACATCTCCATTGATTCGGCCTCTATTGTCTGTGGGAATTGCCACGGTGGAAATTTAACTCTCCAATAACGAGAGGGGAAGCGTGTCGAGTGAGGCATTGATTAATAATGAGGGAATTCAATAAGCATAAACAAACCGATTAACCCATTGTGTGTAGGAAGCAGGTTGGAGAGTTCATTCAATTACAACTGCAGCCTGTAACAGATGTTTCTGCAAACACAAGCTTTTATTTGCCTGTAACAGTAATGACATTGCCCAGCAAAGCAGAGATTCCAATAAAATATTTTATTTCATTTTCATAAAATTACATTAAAACCATTTTAGGGTGAAAAACAAGCAAATACCAACAAGCTTATAACTGTTGTTATGTTATGGCTTATAAATGCTCAATATTAAACTTCTATGCTATTTTGTCTAAAACAGAATAACACTAAAACTAAAACCAATATAATAACTGCAATATAAGAACTTCAGGCCCCACTCTTTTCCACAAACACGTAAAAAAACAAACTTGCACTCAGGAATTTTACTCAATTATCAAGCTGTGATTAATTGTGTCCTTAAGTCCTTAGTGGTCAAACGGAATCACTGGTAAATTGGTGGTTAAGCCCACTAAAATCAGGCAGGTAAGAGTAAGAAAAAAGCTCATCTGCCTTTGTGATCACCTGCTTTAAACTATGGTCACAAAAAAAGCGATCAGCGCTGAGTCATGGTGGGCTGGGTTGAGTGCGGTCTCACAGAGCTGTGTGAAATTGCCTCAGTGTAAGTGCAGAATAGCGGTGAGCATCAATAGACAATTTTCAGAGAGCCAGTGTCAAGAGGCGTGGGTATGCTTCCAAGGCTAAATTACAGCCGAAATTGACCACAACCCGGAAACTGGAAAGGAGAACTGGAGAAGAGAACCAAGAAGAGAGAGAAAAAGATAATGCTGTTTAAAGTAAAACGGAGAGACGGTCCGATGAGACTGAGAGGCAGTGCTCTCCTAGCTGAGCTGCGGCAGGATTGATGTCGCCACACTTTCACAGGCAAAAAGTTTGCGCCAAAGTGAGTTCTCGTGCCAGTTTCATTACAAAATGGCAAAAGTCAAAAGGTCAAATACTATCATGCTGCACTTTACAGGAGAACGCAAATGGTTGCAACAACACATACTGCAGTTCAGTGTTTTTATTATTTATTTATTATGCAACAAACTGCTGCACTGGCTATTAATCCAAAAGCAGCAAAAAAGGCATGATTGTATGCATGTGTACCTACTAAAATTAGCACATATTGTGAATACATGTCACCATTTCCCTTGAGTTATAAACACAGTTCTTCCTTCCCTACATGCAAATGAGCTGTAGGATGATCAAAACATCCAACATGGAGGGATGTTGTTGTACTATAGAGAGAACCCAGGGCACAGAGAAGCTATGATGAAGGGACCTGATACAAGCCACCATGTCCTAAATATGGATCTTCATACTACTCTTTTTCTTCCCCACTCGCTCATGCCTTCTTTTATTTCTTTCTGTTTAGTAACTTCCCCTTGCTTCAGCCACTCCAAAGGGATCGTAATGATTTCCAGTACATGGTGTCTCTTGGGTGTACGTAGAGAGAATAAGGCTCTCTGAACATATTTAACTTGTAGTCGAAGAGAGGTGTGAGAGGAAGATGAAATCTCAGGCAGTCTTTTAGGTATTGCGGCTGATTGCGATGGGAGTTGAGGGCTCAGGCCCCCAAAGAGCTGGTTAATCACATCTCACCACAGAGGTAAATGTACCATAGTAACAAAATAATCAGCAGAGAGCAGAGTAATTTGTAGCTTCATACAAAAAAGCCATCGGTTTCTTTCGTTCGCCAGCTTTTCCCCTTATCCTATTGATTGGAGAACCTGCCAATGTCGAGGAATGGGGCTTCCCACTGGGAGGAGAGGGGAAGGAAACGAATGATCATGAGAGAGGGAGAAAGAGGAAAAAAGAAGGATGGAGGTGATGAGAGAGTGACAGAGTGCGGCGAAAGACTGCAAGAAAGTAGAGAGTTATGCAGAGAATCAAAGCGGGTTCGCAGAGAAGCTACGAGGGCAATACTGCGTGTTTATGCGGCGAGAGAGAGAGCAAGAGTCTGTGTAATGTCTGTTCCCATCAAAATGCAGTCCTCGTCCAATTCTAATCAACAAGCCGCATGCCTCCAAGCATCCACTAATCAAGTCCTAGCATGTATGGCTGTGTGAATTTTCAAGGTGAAGCAAAAGGGGGGCTCACCCTGAATTGAATTTGTCAAATCGGACTGGAGATGAGAAAACAGAGAAGGGGAGTGCAGTAGTTCATCAACAAAATACATTTGCTGATGGGATTCCAGCTCATGTCTAAATCAAAATGACGACAATGATGACGGTTATTATGGATGAAATAAACTGTTAGTTTAGCCGAATAAAGAGTCGTGGACGTGTCACAACACTCAAATGAGCAGTAAATTAAAGACAATGCTGCTTTCCGTGAGAAACGTACATTTAGAAGCCGTGACACCCTCATGCCGAATTCATCTCATTTGTAGGGTTATTTCATGAATTTCTTTTCCTTTTTTTTTTTTTTGGAATAGGATTGGGAAAGTGTCAGTAATTGAAAAATCAGGATGAGAGGATTGTCAACCGGAGCAAATTTCTGGCAAAATGGCATAATCAAGTAGTTTCTCAGGAATGAGGAAATAGAGATGTGTAATAAAATGCAAACATGATCAACAGAAGGAGTGCAATAGTCAATGAGAATCAAACAGAAGAGGAAGAGACACTTTTGCTCTGCACTTCACTACACTGTCAATCTTTCTAATTCACTTTATTTTGCACTACCACTATTCCATTTTATTTGTTAATATTTCTTGGGTTTTTTGGGCTACAGTATTTGTTATTTTATGTTGCACTCATACACAACTATGCTGCTGATATGAACATACAGTAAAATAAGACAAAAAGATTTTAAAAAATGAAACAAGGTATACACTAGGTATACACTATCATTTAAAAGTTTGGGGTCAGTAAGAATTTTTTAAAGATTATTAAGTTTAAAAGGAGTCTCTTTTCAGTAACATTGTGAAATATCACAACAGCCATTATTCTGGTCACATGATCATAAATCATTCTAATATGCTGATTTTGTACTCAAGAAAGACTTATTACCATAAGTTGAAAACAGAAATTTGAGAAAGTTCAAAAGAATAGACCCTTTTAGGGCCAACGTCACAATTACGTCACAGTGCTAGCTGGAGGCAAAACAAAGGGAAAACTGGAGGCGGCCAATTCAAACCAGTGCAGATTGGGCTACATAAGGAGCTTAAAATATCGTCTTGTTGTGATGTTGGGTGCCAGAATCGTTGTAGTAGAGGCTCCAATTTGAAATTTTAAAGCATACCTGCTGTCACTGCCAAACAAAAAAAAAATGATGACAGCTGTGCTTAAACACGATAAAACGAGCAGATTGGACAGAAATTGTCGTCAAAACGTCTTATCAGAAAAGCTTAAATAAAGCATTGTCTTTTGTTGTTATGGATTGTGTTACACGTCTAAAAACTTCTTATGCATCTCACTACATGTCATGTATGAAATAATGTCCGTGTGCATGTGTGTAAAACAACAAACTAATGATTTATATTAATGATCTGTAATAGTATATACATTGCTGTGCTTGATTGTGGCTGGAATTTTAAAAAAAAATCAAATACAGAAAGTTCAAAATTAGTCTCTGGGAATTAAAATTAAAATTAAAATTTTGATTCCGCCTATCGATTCATATGCACTTTTTTTTTCTTCATCTGTGAAGACCGGACCTAGCGATCTGCCAGGACCTTGTTCGCTAATCTAAGCGCTCCAAAGTTTGGCTACATTTGCAATCAGAAAACTAAAAAGCTAAGTATAATATCTGTGATAGCAAAACATGTTGCAAAAGAGGTGTCACCACCAACATGAAAGCACTTTAATTTAATAGATCGTTAAAGATCACGAAAACGATGCAAACATTCATCTGTTTCATTTGGATAATAAAGTTCGTTAAATTGTTAAATGCCCTGCCTCCATTACATATCTCTGTCACGTCATTATAAGTGTTTGATCACCACATTTGAGTGACCATTGCAAAAAATGTGTTTATGTATATATATATTCTGTTTATCTATATACTGTATTCTATATATAGTACCAGTCAAATGTGTGGACACACGAATGGGAAAGTGTCCAAACTTTTGACTGGTACTGTACTATAATATACACAAAGAATATCGTGTATTTTTTTTTACTCCCTAATATCGGTATCGGCCCCAAAAAAAACATATCTGTCGGGCTCTACTTCAAACACCTTCACTCTCTCTTTTATCTCCATTCCATTTCTTATCTCCCTTTATCCCTCCTCTGTTATACGCCTATAAAGTGAATAAGACACAAACTCACCATCTACTCTTTATAGGGGAGAATGACTATCACGCAAGTCATTTCTTTTAAAATATCTGATGCAATCCCAAAGCAAGGTTAATGTATTCAAACTGACCTT